CAGCAGCCAGCACAGCCATACTGAGGTAGGTCTGTGGAGAAAAAAGGAAAAAGCAGAAGGAATGTGAATGTATGCACTCTCAGCTACCGACTGCAAAACCATGCACTGAAAGAAAATCCAGGGTGAAACTGTATGGGCAGCAATTAGGGTGGGAAACACCCGTGTCTCTGGGGAGATGGTGTGAAGGTAAAACTGCAAGTGTTAATCCTGCAAATTGCAGGAAACCAGTGAACGTCTTTTTCTGGTGAAATCTCAGCACTATATTGAGTTGCAATGGCCTCTTTCTGCTGCTGTTTGATAACTGGCTTTATTAAACCAACAGAATTTTTTTTTTTCTGTTGGAACGTGTTTCTTGTGATTTACTGTCCAGCTCTTACTACTCCTTTTTAAAAAAGAGGCCACCTGGACAGCACTGGATGACAGGTCACTCACCCACTGTACAAGACTATGTATACCAGCAAGCAAGCTACAGCTGAGATAAAGGAAAAATGATATTTTCCAAAACAGCTCTTTTTGAGATTATGAACAAAATAATTACACCTTGTCACTGAAGTGAGGGCAAGCATGAACCTTGAGGCTGACTTGTTGCCTGGTAGCTGCAGAATCTCATGGTCAGTGTTAATGCCCATTTTGGTGCTAGGCAGTGACACGATCCAGGTGGGAAAACTGATCAGCATACAAAAACCTGCTCACTCATTTTGACTGGGGGACAGAAAAAGGCGATTTCTTAAGTCCCATGTCTATTGGGTTTGCATGGCCAGGTTTTGGTAGTGGGGGGGCTATGACATTGGCTTCTTGAGAAACTGCTAGAAGCTTCCTCAAGTCTGATAGAGCCAATTCCAGCCAGCTCCAGGACAGACCTGCTGCCAGCCAAGGCTGAGCCAAACAGAGGCGGTGCTAATGCCTCTGTGATGACATATTTAAGAAGGAAAAAAAAGTTATTGTGCAGATCTAATTGCAGCCAGAGAAGAGAGGAGTGAGAAAATGTGATCGTAAAAACTACACAGAACCAAGCTCAGTACAGAAGGAGGAGGAGGAGGTGCTGCAGACACTGGAGTGGAGATTCCCCTGCAGCCCATGGTGAAGACCATGGTGAAGTAGGCTGTGCCTCTGCAGCCCATGGAGGTCAACAGGGATGCAGAGATCCACCTCCAGTCTGTGGAGGAGACCCATGCTGGAGCAGGCGGATGCCCGAAAGAGACAGTGAACCCAAGGGAAATCCATGTTGAAGCAGGGTCCTGGCAGGGACCTGCAGGCCCATGGAGAGAGGAGCTCACACTAGAGCAGGTTTTCTGGTGGGACTTGTCCTTGTGGGAGACCTGCACTGGAGCAGCCTGTGCCTGAAAGACTGCACCCTGTGAAAAGTGACCCACGTTGGAGCAGTTTATGAAGAACTGTAGCCTGTGAGGACTCATGTTGGAGGGTTTTGTGGAGAACTGTCTCCCGTGGGATGGACCCCACACTGGAGCAGGAGAAGGGCTCCTTTCCCTGAGGAGGAAGAAGCATCAGAAACAACTGACCTCAACACCCACCCCTGTCTCTCTGCACTGCTGGAATGCTTTTTAAGATTTATTTTAATTTTCATTATCCTGCTCTGATTTTGTTAGTAATAAATTCAGTTAATATCCTCAAGTTTGGTCTGTTTAGCCTGTAATCAGTGAGTGATTTCTCCCACTCCTTAGCTCATGAGGCTTTAGTTCTGTTTTCTCTCCCTGGTCCAGTTGCAGAGGGGAGTAAGAGAGCAGCTTTGATAGGTACCTGGCACCCAGCCAGGGCCAACCCACACTGCAAAATACAATGACCCTGCCCACCAGGCTCTCAACATATTTGCTTCTCAAATACCCAGGTCAGTACACCTTAGCTCACCGAGGCAGTGCCGTATGCCATATCTGGGCCACTGACAGCATCATCCTGAATCCAGTGGCAATTAGAAAGGGGTGTGAATTTGGCCATCACTGGTTGGTGGAGGTGTACAATGGGATATGGCTCTACCCAGACATGCCTGAGTGTCCCTCTGACATTGGCTGCTGTGGTTAGGGAGGATGAAGAAAATTAGGATGAGTTTGGGGGTAGAGGAGTGGCAGAAGAGACTATGGTTCTGGGTTTCAGTGGGGATTTTGCGACAGCTCTTCACATTATTTGCCTGGTGGATGCTGTATTGTGGGGAAGAAACCAGCATTTTCCTGCTCACAGGCACAAAAAGAAGGGTGGCACAGACTTGGAAAGGATGCCCAGTGCACTTAAGTCCTGTGTCTCTCTATTTATGAGATGTATAGCATAGGTCTTGTTTCCAAATCAGGAGCTATAGCTCATGCTTGTTTATGAGAAGGAAAAAAAAAAAAAAAAAAAAAAAAAAAAAAGCAGGTCTGAGACATGATGCAGCACAAGCCTCATGCCACGGGAAATATTCCCCTGCCCATAAAAGGTCCTGGCTCAGGGCACCAGTTCACAGCCACTACAGAGGCCACCGAAATGAGTTCCTTTTTGATTTGGAAAATGGTGTCTTGCTTTTCTGCTTGAGGAAGAGAGAAATTCTCGGGTGCTCTGTTCTGCTGTGCAGTTTGTGGTACCAGATTTAATAAAGGGATGCGTGGGAGGGAACACAGAAGGGAAAGAGAAAGGAGACAAGCAGGGGGAGCAGGCAGCTGCACTGCATCACAGAGCACTGGTCTGCAGTGCACGGTGCCAGAGCTGGGGGAGGCAAAAGGATAGCCAGGCCCCAGGTCCCCTCCTCTCTGTCCTCTCCTCCTGGGAGCAAGACACAGAACTGGCCCTGAGGAGCCCAGAGCGGGAACAGCCAGATGAAGAAGAGGCAAAGCCTGGCCACCCCTCGCTTAATGTGTGGTCATCAGTCTCTGCACCCTCCACTGCACTGGATGCTGGCACACTGTGCCTGTGGGATGTGCCCCACTTGTTGCCAGCATCATCCTCAAAAGATACTGAGGCTGACACCCAAGAGGGGACGAAAAATAGGAGCCTGCCCAAGATACTTCACATCTTTGTCTACAAGTCACAGTACAAACACAGTTCTCAGAAACCAAAGCCTGTCCCCCCACCATGGGCTTGCTATCCCATTTGCTTCCCTTAGTGGCAACCCCTGGGTCTCAGGCTCACCAGCGAGGCCTCAGGCACCCAGGGCAGGACCTCATGTATGCAACAAGTGAGCTGGATAATCACGGTAGGAGGAAGGGAAAGATTGCGCACCAACAAAGGCAGCCCTGGGAAACAATTTTATTGCCAGCAAAATGCTGCGGGTCTTTGTTTAGTGAGTGCACTTCCCATGAAATGCAATTGCTCACTGTGGTTTTAAACCAAGACCACCCTGAAAATGAAGGCAGTTTCCATTAAACTGAATTACTTCTCCCCAAAAACTGGCATGACAATGGTAATGCTGACAAGGAATGATAGCATTAAGTGAGAGCATAACTTATATTTTCTATTAAATCACTGTCATTTCTATTACAAATGGCATCGTGCATGCATGCCATGCTGATTTAAAGCGATAAAGGCTTAGTCATAATTAGTTATCACAGTGCCTAAGCATGAAATACATGTAGCACAAATGTGTAGGCAACACCACACCAAGCCCGGGTCAATATTGGGATCTAAATTGAACTTAGTATTAGCAGATAAGTTGGTGCAATGGTAGTGGTGTCTTTTCAAAAACATTCATATGCCCATCACAAGTGTGACCCTGAAGGCTGTTTGTCACCTCTACCCCACCCTTTCAGCACTCTTCAGAAGTGGTGAGCCAGGAAGTGAAAAGAGGAGCACCAACATATGACTGCCATAGATCTGACCATGGAGATCCAGTAGAAAGCAAGTGCAATGTTCAATTAATGACTCAAATGCCTACAGACTATCAGCAAGGAGAAAGTGGGGTTGCTAAGTCGGCAAAGTTGGACGAGCACTGGTGTTGCAGCAGTCATTCAGGGAAGGTTTCTGCTCTTGAGGATGTTTTCCAAAAGCTGCTGAGCTTCTTGGAGCCCATGGGCTGCTGCCACACTGAGAAGTTTCTCCACTTCCCTGAAGAACATGAAACCTTCATCAAGAAAATTTAGGAGGATGTTTGATTCATTCCTAGCTAAATTTCAATTACCTAGGCTTTTATAAGAGGAACACAGCTACTGAAAATGTCTATAAAGTTAACTCTCCACTATTCAGAAAATTATCTGATTTTCCTTCTGCTTTTCCCTGTGGTCTGAGCACATGTGTTTTGGGTTTGGTGATTTTCTCATCTTAGTTGAAGTAGAGAGGGGTTTGGAGTTCTTGAAATCCCATTCAAAACACGAGTCTGCCTCATCATGAGACGTGCAGTGGAAATTGAAACAAAATGTGCTGGCTTCAAACCACAAGGTTTGCCCAAACAATGCTATTTTAGCTTCACTTAGTTTAAAACTGCTCTCTCCAACCTCAACTTTAATTTTCAGACTTGGAGTAAATGTAAAAAAGTCAAAACTAAACAATACACAAAATCGATGAGTCCCTGTGTTGGGAACTCATCAGCTGTTTGAGCTTCACTTAGCTCCAGGACTAGTCACCACAGCAAATGTACAAAGCACAAGGCAAGTTTTCTTTGGCTGTGGGCCTTGCTGGGAACACTGGTGTGAAGAGTGCACAGGTACATTAGGGAGAGAAATGTGTCCTGAGTGGTTTCAACCCAACCCCCAGGCAGGCAACAGGAAACTTCTCATTGACCCCACTGGATGGCAAGAAGAGTGAAAAGGGAGTTCCCTCAAAAAAGAAAGACAGGTCTTTATTGCAGAAAATTCACATGGCACTTCAATAGCTCTTTCTATACCACTATGGGTCTTGTCCCCTGCCTTGACTGGGAAATCGCGATGGAAATACATATGCACTCAGACCACAGGAATTTTGGGTACTGTGACACCTAATTTTTAAAATCTCATTGGACTAACTGGAGTTTTTGGTTTTCTTGCTGCAGGTGGGGCTGCATTACTGACATTACAAGAAGAGGACATTAGAAATGCCGGAGTAGCTTCATGCGTGGAGTACTTACAGCACCAGGTTCCCCCTCCCACCTCCCCAGGAGGAGCTGGCAATGCAGCTGTAATGGGAAGGAAGAGGATTAACTCAGGTTACCCTTCTTCAAGTGCCACAGTCATGTTTCTGAGTGCCCCCACCACCAGGTTGAAGGAGGAGTGGGGATGGCCCTGCCCCGCAGCCTGCCTGCAGAGGGGAAGAGACAAGCAAAGAAAATGGTAAGAGACATACAGAAGAAGAAAACCTGAGTTAGAATGTTTAAAAGTGAGGTAAGAGCTGGCCTGGTTTTGGCTGAGGTGGAGTTACTTTTCTTCCTAGTAGCTGGTACAGTGCTGTGCTTTGGATTCAGTATGAGAATAATGTAGATAACCCACAGATGTTTTGGTTGTTGCTGAGCAGAGCTTCCCCTAAATCCATGGTTTTCCAGTTTCCCATGATCTGGCAGTGGGAAGGTGCACAAGAAGCTGGGAGAGAGCATGGCCAGGACAGCTGAACTGGCCAAAGGGATATTCCACATCATAGAGCGTCATGCTCCATATATAAAAAAGGGAGGGGGAGTTGGGTAGGAGTTGCCAATTACTTGTTGGGGACAGGTTGGGCATTGGTCAGTGAGTGGTAAGCAACTGTACTGGGCATCATTTGTGTTTCTTGGGTTTTATTGCTCTCTTTTATTATTATTGTTATATTTCACTTTATTTCAATTATTAAACTGCTCTTAACCAACAAGTTCTACCTTTTTCCAATTCTCCTTCCCATCCCACAGGGCTGTGAGGGGAGAGGGGAAATCAGTAAGCGGCCATGTGGTACTTAGTTGCTAGATGAGCTTAAACCACAACAGAGTAAATAAGGAAGAAGGCATGTATAATTCACTGTTCTGAAATGTGACTCCTTTGAAATGTTCAGGCCCTGATTTGGAAAACATCCTTATTCAGAAAAGCACGAAGGCTTCAGCATTTCTCTAGGTAGGGATGTCCTTAATGATGCCTTCTTTGATTACAACTCCTGCTGCTACAGGCATAGTTATTTCAGCCCTTCCTGCAGCTTGATGCTGTTCTATGCCCTGAGCAGACATAAGGGAAACATCCAAAGTGTCCCCTCCTCTCCCCTCACTTTTTGGGTAGCACTGTAACTTTCCCTCTCTCTCATCCTTCCCGTTTCTCACCAAGAGTGTTAGGATTTTGGGCGATGCAGCCCAGGCTCCCACCACAGGTGCGACCACTGTGGGTACCACAGCAAATGCACACACAGGCATGGCTGCCTCACTTATGTGGCAGAAACCTCTTGGGAGGGTGTGTAGAGAGCAGGAAATTAATACGCTGCTGTAACTTGATTTTCCATTGCCTCAGCAGTTCCTGGCTCACTCCCCTCCTGTGCCTGTGCATTTTCCCTGCTGCCCACCTGCAGCTCAAACCTCCCCAAAAGGCTATTCAGCAACACCAGCATTCTCTGCACACTTCCTTTCTTTCACCGATTTAAAAAAAGAGCAATAGTAGGTGGGGAAAGTGGAGCAAAGCATATGACCTATAGTGAGAGGCTGGGAGCTCCACATCTCCCTGCTGCCACCTGTGAACCTCCCTCCTGTTGCTGCAGGACCACTCAGTGCACCTGTCCCCCAAAGCACTGCCAGCTCTTTTTTCTCCTCCCATGCCACAGTAGCCTTTCCCCAGAAGAAGCCAATTTCCCCCAGCAGGACTTGAGGCTCACCTGAACCAGTGCATGGCCATGTCCTCATTTTTTTCCACTCCGGTTCCTGGGTGTGAGACAAGGTAGCAAAGTCACAGACAGATTATACAATACAGCATCCAAAATCCAGCAGTGTGGTGGTACGACATACCACAGAGCCATGTTTATAGTTCCAGCTTATAAGCATGCCTACTCTGGCAGCAAGTTACCCACAGATTGGAGACACATTACCTTGCAAATACCTCTGTCCCAGGATGTGCTGGGCATTGGGGTACCCGAGGCGAGCATACAAATGAGCCACGTGGAAATGGAAATTCTCATAGCACAGTGGGATGTAGAGCAGAAGGAGGCCAGCGATGATTACAGCTGCCAACTGTAAAAGAGGAACAGTCATGAGGCAAGGAAGAAAATAAACTGAGGACCAGCTACAGCAAATATTTCATCTGAGCTCTGAAGCCTCCCA